AAAGTGAGTTCAATGCCAGTCTGAACTGCATAGTGAAACCCTGTCTTAGAAAGACAAAAAAAAAAAAAGAAAGAAAGAAAAGAAAGAAAAAAGAAAGAAAGAAAGAAAGAAAGAAAGAAAGAAAGAAAGAAAGAAAGAAAAAGAAAGAAAGAAACTGCATGAAGGTGAAGTCTATTTTTAATAAATAAATTGGTAAAACATGATTGATAGGAAAGATAACATGAAAGCTACTCTACCTTCCATATGAATGGAACATATATTTTCAACAAGCAGACAAATCCAACAGTTTTTAATAAAATCATATCATCTAATTTTTAAAATTATATCTTTCAAAATCAAAACACTACATTACTAATATACAAAGATTATTACTAATATACAAAGATCTCTGTTATTGTAGGATCTCAAATGTAAAAGTATGGATGTTTTCCATCTTGCCTCCACTAATTTATCGTTTCATTATCTGAAAGCCAAACTATGGACTCATGGCAATGGATAGACCCTTGGAAACCCTTTAACCCTCTGTGTTTGTCTCTCGTGGGAGCTCTTTTTACCTGACTTTTGTTTAAATGTCTAAGTTCAATAATTTGGAACAAGTCGGAGCTCGTTCCTAATTAAGCAATGTCTCCCTTTTTAATGAAAAGAGCAGAAGGGAAATTTTCCTGATCCCAATATCTTTTGGTCCTACTGTACCACACTGAGTCACACAAAATAAGCTTAACCATTCCAACACATTAGATCCTCAAATGACTTCAGTTTACCAAAGCAAACTTCAAAGTCTTTTATCCTCTAGCCAGCGGTTCTTTTAACCATTCATTTTAGAAAATTGAGAGGAGTTAAAATCATGACCTTGAGTGATTATCTAGTTATGAATGGGAGAACTATCTGCATTAATTGCAATTATTAAGGTAAGTTACTGAACCTCTACAAAACTGAATTTTTATCTGTGAATAACTTACAGTTGTGTTATGAGGATTGCTTGACAATGTATGTAATTTGCCTAAAGTACACATGAAACTTTCAAAAAATATTGCTATTACTATCAGTTTGGCCTTCTCACTGTTTCTATGTATTTCATTCCCCCAAATCCAATAAATCTTAGTAAGAACAATGAGAATAATAAATATAACAAAAACATCATTGCAATGATTACAGTTACCATACAGATAGAATAATTCATTTTTTAACTAAATGTTCTCACCAATCCATAAAGTAGGGGCCATTCTGCATATACAGATGAAGAAACCCAAGCTCCATGAGGTTGGGCCATGTGCCAAAGCTCTCTCTGGGAATACATGAAAGTATCTACCTGACTTTAGTTGGCATTTCTGTCCTGACTTTACTTCATATTGTTAACTGTATTGCATTCCTAAATTCTTATTTCTAATTCTGCTTAAGTTTTACATGAGATAATACCTCAGTGACTATATCCCCTTTGCCCATATTATCCTGGTACAGTTGAGAAAGTAAACTGGAAGAAGAGCTACTGTGAGAATTTTATTAACTGCATACTGTTTTGTGTATAATTACTAAAAGAAGCAAAAACTAAAATTTGAAAATGAGATACTTTCAAAAGGTGGGGTACAATCACCTACTGGTGACATCAGAGGAAACTGAGGAAATGGAGCTTCTTTTAGCACCTGCTCTCTGCATTATGCTTTACATATACTCATCTTACTTGATCTTCCCAACAAGACCATGAAGTTGGTATTTGCACCATTTCACACAGAAGAAGTTCACATTGTCACTTAGTTATTGAGAAGTGTGCATGGAACTTCAGCCCAGGTCTGTGTGAAGGCAAGGAGAACTAGAGAGAAAGCAAGAGGGGCATGTAAAACAGAATATGGAGCAAAATTAAGAGTCTGTGTTTAGCTTCAGAATTCCAAGGCACAGGCCTGAAGAGACTTAGAACTCAATGAATTCCATTAAGGTCTGTGCAAGTCTCCCTGATTTTTATGCTACTGCTGTCATTACTACAGTATTATAAAGATTTCCACCACCCTCACTTACTCACATTCACTGTGCCGCTAGTACTCTAGCAAGGGCTGTTTGTAAGTTTTCTCACACTCAAGAGACAGTACTCATATTTTCCAGTGAGAAAACTGATGGAGACAGACTCAATCTTACCCAACTTCTTCCAGCCAATTAAATTAAAGTCAGGATTCATTTTCCCCATAGCCAAAGTGCAGAGCAGAGGTCTTAATCACTATGGTACACCACATCCTGAAATACAAGTCGGTAATGTTTCTCTGGGTTTCTCAAAGAAATAAGAGACCTTTCCTCGTAAAGTTGTTCAGAAAATAAGGGCCAAGTTGGTAGCTATCTGAGAACAGCCCTTATAAGTAAATAGTAGAGTAAGGTGCTGAGAGAGCCCCAGGAAAGTGAGAAGTCTCAGAGATATAATCACAGATGCTCCTGTCTTTGGAAAATAGCCAAGGTTTCCAGTAACATTCCCTTTCTGTTATAGGAATAGACAAAAATATTTGTAGCTGTAAGTGGTGGCCTATAATCCCAACAGTCTGGGAGGTTAAGGAGGAGGAGAATGAGCTTAGGCTCAGCCTAGGCAACTGAATGACTTAGTGAGGCTCTGACTCCAAGTAAAAATAAAATAAAATAAAAGTTAAAGTTGTAGTTTAATATGCAGTCCTTGAGTTCAATCCTCATCATCAAAAAATACATACATAAATAAATAAATACATGCAGACATATTACATATATATGTATGAGATAAAAATCAGTGAGCTATCAAGATATAAGACATTATTTTAAAATATGGCAAATATTTTAAAATGTTTTACAGTAAAAGGTACATTCTCATTAAACTCCCTCAGAATACTACCTTTCCCATCCAAAATACTTCTCCCATTTTTTTTACTGTAATATATTTTTAGAGTTAAATATTTATTATATATTTTCATCAGATCTCACATTGATGTGACAATTGAGTTCAACAAGACAGGCACTCACAAGAAAACTGAAAAGGCAGGAATGAACAAAGCTTTATTGAGCCGGCTGACAGACACTCTCTAACAAGGAGCCAGAGAAGATGTCTGTGCTCATCTGGGTCTCACCTTCTGTTTAAGTACATTTTTAGGTTTCTGTAGTAACCGTTACCTCATTTTTGGGAATCTTACAAGAATGCACACAATTATCTTTCCCAGAAGCTGTTGGACAGCTGGATTCCAGATGACCATTACAGTTTAGGCTGTAGCTTACTTCTCAATTTGTCCTGTTTTCTCTGTTCCCATTTTATGACTCTGTTCTCCTTTAAGTCGGTTGATAACAAACGAAGGGGAGGAGGTGAAGAGTGGGATCAACTACAGCTTAAGTGAACTTAAGCAACTCTCTTAATATGGAGTTAAAAAAAATAGTCTCTCTTTCCCTATCAATATGTGGGCTTAAGAAAGCTACACAGATTTCTCCACATTCAAAAACAATACAGGAACAATAGAAAATTTCTTACATGTCCAAGAATAGGAAATAAACAACAGAAGGAACTTGCAAACCTGCATCTTTCTACCATAAAGATGGGACAGAGAATACCACAGGGGATAAATGATCCATTATGATTTGAACTTGTCCCCTAAAGTTCCTATATTGGAGATTTGATACCAATGTGGCAATGTTGGGAGGCAGGGCCTAAGGGGAAGTGTTTGAGTCAAGGTACCACAGTCCCCATGAATAAAGTATTCCTGGTACCACAGGAGGAAGTTCCTAATAAAACATGAATTCAGTCCTGTCTTGCTTTCTCTCTCTGGTCCTGTGACATTCTGCCATGTTGTTACTCAGCAAAAAGACCCCCACCCAATGCCACCCCCTCAATCTTAGACTTGGTAGCCTGCAAAACTATGAGTCAATACATTAACTATCATTATAAATTGCCAGGTCTGTGATAATCTGTTATAGAGACACAAAACCAACTAATAGAGGACCAGACTGTAAACCACATTCTAATTATATCATGGTAGAAACTTATCTTGACTACTGTCCAAATGTCTGAGAACAATAATTTTTAATGGCAGTTCTAGAATATCTTCTTTTAATGAAAATAGAACCACTGAAAACTTGCTGCTTGTTACATTTACCCATCGGTCTTAGTTACGCCATGTGGAGCCACACAAGTTAAGTGTGCCCATTCTCAAGAGTGCTAGCCTGAACTGATTCCTTGCTGCTATCTACAGCTAGTAATAAATCCAGCTAAAGGAAAAAATAGAGCTGTAAGTGTGGTAAAGCTGAATTTTTTGGCTCAAATTTACGTGCTACACTTACTAATATTGCAGGGAAGGGGGAGCCAGGGTTAATATCTAGCCAGGTGTAACTGAGGAATACAAAAATCATCCTCCTGTTTTAATTGATAAGTATCCACATTTTACCAGTGAAAATAATATTTCCACAGTTCAACTGGGCAAGACTGACCTGAAGGTTGTTTCCATTTTTCAAGAGGGTTAATTTAGAGCATAAGATTTTTTTCCCAAGTCATTGCATCCATACAAATGGCATGTGCAGTATACCATTCACATTACCATATTCTAATGTTTTCTTTTAAGATACTTTTCTGTTTTCCAATAATTTTCCATAGATACTTCATGACCCTATCTGAAGTCTTTGCTTCATAATGTCAGAAAAAGTTCATTTCTATATTATACTCCATTGGATGCAGAAGTGAATTCTTCATATCATCAAGACATGTAAAAATTCAAACACACAGACAATACATCAAAATGGAACAAGTGCCAAGGTATCTAGCTCATGCTCTTTAGTGAAAATGGAAAACCTGAGATGCAGTGCATCTCTGGTAATACAACTCTAGAAATACAAACTCCTAAAGGTATAGTTTTGCAAAGCAAATAACAAAACTGGAAATGCTCCTTCCCCAAATTTTGAATCACCATGTCAGCCCAAGTGTGTGTGAATTCTTAAATGCTTATAAAAATGGCAGTGGGTTTGAAGTGAAATGTACAATGTGTGGATATTTATTTTGTCCTACATTCTGCCTCCAGTATTGATTAACTTCTACAAATGGGCTGAAAAGACCAACGACCATAAACAGTATACCTACTTCAGAAACTTAAATGGTAAGATCATATTCTAAATTGATGTTGTTGCCACCAATGAAAATATACATGTTGGTATTTTGTGAATTTTATCTCTGCATAAGTTGTTTTAAAGTACTTCTTGAGTCAAGGAATGAAACTTTGAATGCTGTCTAGAATCAGAACAGTTTTTCAAGTACTTTCACCTTTACTAAATCTTATGACTGGTCTCAACTATAATGAGGTCAACTGAAGTTTACAGGATTTTAGGGCAGAAGTGGTGTGTGTAGTCAAGTCTCTAAGAAATAGCAATATAAATAAGACTTTCACTTCTATTTTTAACTTGCCCTTAATAAAGTATTACAGAATTAGAGCCGCTTCTCAATGACACACCATATACTCAAAACACAAGATGTCGCTTTAACAGAGTTGGCAATCCCAAAAGGTGTGTAAATATTTTTTTCTCAATTTTAGGAAATATGTCTCCAAAAACCACATTCAAAATGCTTTCACAGTACAATAGGTCAGTATAATTTAACTGTAAGTATAAGAATAGAAAATTGGCCTCAGTTAAAGAAGTACATATGTAAACATGCATATACTCCATGTATCTCTTTTTCTGTCTTACCAATTTGAATCAATATTTTCTAAAAATCTATTTTTTCCTGATATTTTCACAAGTTCCTAATTTCATCCTTGAAATGCTCTTATGGAAACTGTTGAACAGATGTTAGTATTCCTTTAAAAACGAAAAGACAAGTAGATAAAGTTCCAATCAATTTCACTAGGTCACAAAGTAAGAATTCAAGTTTCTTGATCTACAGCTTTGGAAATTACAACAAAATGGAGTCATGGAATACAAGATAAGAAACTTCCCAGGTATACATAAAAAAATTAAAATACGTTTTTCACATTATTCTATTACCAGAATAATAAAAGTCAGGGCAGTCACTGAATCAGTGAGTGGCTGATTGTGCTTACATGTACAAATATAAAGTATGTAGGGCTTCAGGAATGGAGATAGAAATTAGGATTAGTTATAAATTGATATAGGTCCTTTTTATTTGAAAATTTAGGTTAAGCTTGAAAACTACTCATAATATGATAATGCACTTGCTATATTTGTAGGCAGGACAAACAAATACACATGTGAAAACAGATTGAGTCCTTCTGTGCCCACACAGTAGACAGAGTTTTAAAGAGTGCAGAGAAATTAAGGTGGGTAGTTGTAAAAACATAATGAAGAAATAGTATAAGAATCGAGTCCAACTCATAAGTCTGGAATTTTTCCCAAAAGATTCAGAAAAATCTCATCACAATCTTCAAAAAGGGATTCAGGCAACACTGCTCATCTCAACGAAAACCCAACTGAGACAGTTGAAGTTAGGCAAGCTAAGTTTTGCCAAGTATAAACTGTTGTTGTTCCATTCTAGTCTCAAACCTCACTGACTTTAAGTTCTATTAAAATGTTACTATCTCATGTGATAGTCAGGAATTAGCAAATCTATGCCAAAATCCATTGTCATCTGTAAACATGAGTCATTTTATTTTCATTCTATCTTTTTCCCACCAGGATGTTTTATATTTTCAATGTCATGACGTATATCTTTTTACATCATGTATCAAATTATGATAGATATCATTTATTTTAATGAATTTTTATTTTACCCTTTATGTTAAAGGTTTGTTATTTACACACAACTATTACAGTATCAGTTTTGAAAATTAGGATGTGCAGTAACTTTTAACAGAGTTTTATATTCCCATGTGTTTTCATATTACTTATTAGCGTCTTTCTATTACAACTTGTAGAATTCCTATTAGCATTTCTTGTAAGATATGCCTCATGGTGATGAACTTCCCCACCTTTTGCTTTGTGGGGAATCTTTCTCACTCATTCATTTCTGAGACACAGATTTTCCTGGTACACAATTCTAGGTTGGCAGGGGTTTTTTTTTTTAACACTTTGACTATCACAACCCATTCTACCTTGGCTTATAAGATTTCAGCTGAGAAATTTGTTGCTAGCCTTGTGAAACATCCTTTTTATATGACATGCTTATTTTGGTGCCTGGATGATCCTGTCTTCCATTTTGACAGCTTGATTCTAATATGTCTTAATGTAGTCTTGCTTGGAATGAATCTTACTTACATTTCCTCAACCTGGATATACATATCTTTCCCCATGTTTGAATAGTTTTCTTCTATTATTTCTTTAAATAAATAAGTTTTCTATCATTTGTCTTTTCTATTCTTGAACTTCTATGACTTGTAAATGTGCTCTTTAATGTTGCCCCACAAATCTCAGTATTATTTTCTTGGTACTTTCATTCTTATGCCTCAATATATTTGTATATTTTCAAATAGCCTGGCTTCAATTTTAGAGATGTTTTCTTCTGCCTGATCAAGTCTGTTGTGGAAGGGCTCTATTGCATTTTTCATTTCAGTCACTGTATTTTCTCACCTCAGAATTTCTAAATTTTTTTAAATTTTGATTTCTGTGTTAAATTTTTAGTTTGAGGTATTTATTATTTTTTTTACTTTCATTAAATTATTTTTCCAGTTTTTTGAATTTTACTCAGGTTTATTAAAATTATTTTGAGACTTTGTCAATATATTTGAGGGTTTGGGTTTTTTATGTTTTTGTTTTTTTGGTTTTTTTTTGTACCAGGAATCAAACTCAGGACCTTGCACTTGCCAGGCAAGTGCTTGTGCTTCTGAGCTATATCCCTGGCCCAATATATGTATATATATATTTGGTATGAACTATTAGGAGAATGTTATTTGAATGTTTTTGTTGGTATTATGTCTCCTTGATTTTTCATATTTATGGTTGCCTTATGCTGATGTCTGTACATTTGAAAAGGTAGGGTCTTCTTCTAGCTTTTGCAGAGTGACTTTGGTAAAAGCTCTTAGTAATCAGGCCATCTAGAGATGCCAGTCAGATTATGCTGGGGTTCTCAGGCAGGCTGGCCTAGTACTTTAGGCCACAGATGGCTGTGCTTACTCCCAGGGTTTGTGGGGTTGGGTCTTGAGCCTGGATTTCAGAATCAACTTTGTTTTAAGAGCCTCACAGTGGTCTTGTATCAATGGGGAAGGCCTGAAATTAGTGCCCACTGAGGCTAACCTGGTGTTGGTATAGGACTTGACTCTGAGTCTATGCAAGACACATAAACACAGGAGTGAAGCTTTGGCTGGAATCCACAGGAAGAGATCTGGAGCCTGATTCCTTGGAAGTGCCTGGATTTTGAATCCACATATTCTGACTTGCCTACTGGGTGTACAGGGTGATCCTGAATCTTTTGTTCTGCAGTGGCTGGCCCGGTACTTGACTCAGCTGGAACAAGCTGAGCAGATCTACTGGAGCAGTTTTGGATCCTGAGTTCTCTGGAACTTCAGGCCACAGTGGCTTGCCTAGAGCCTAGATCTTCAAGGCCTAAAATCTGGGTTCACAAGGTTGGTCCTATAGTATAGGTCCATGCTGTCTATTCTATGGCTTGGCTCTATGAAACACACCTGGTTCAGGGGCCTGGTAGAGTAGTTTTAGCTGCTAGGGCTAGACTGGAGACTAGGACCACAGGAACCAGGTGTGTGTAAAAGCACCAGCACTGGGTAGGAATAGCACCTCTGTCCACAGATGTTAGTCTAAGGTGCCTAAAGACATTGATGGTGACCTGGTATTGAAGTGAACATAAAGTCTAGGACTATATGGGCTTACCTAGCTCCAGGCTAATCTGAAACCTGGGTATGTACCTGGGTTCAGGTATTAAATAGACTGTCAGTGGACCTCTAGCCTTCATTCAGAAGGGCAAGTCTGGGCCCATAGCTTTAGGGGTTTGCTTGGTCCTGGAGTAGGACTGAAATCTGGGGCATAAATATCTGGTGTTGAGAGTAGTCCAAAATCTGGAATCTCTCAGACCAATTTGGCCCTACAGCTGGCCTGAAACCTGAATTCATAGCGGATACTCAGGTAATGAAGCTAGGTTAGAGCCTGAGACCACTAGCAGTGCCCTGATAGGACAGCATTGTCAGAGAGCAAATTAATCAAGAAAATTGTGGAGCTTGGAGCTGTGGGGGTTTGCCTGGAAATGGGAAGAGATTAGAGGCTCAGTTATTGGGTACTGACTGAATCTCAGCTATGGATGTCTGCCTTTTGCTGGATTTTATAGAGGTAGATGATGTCAGAATTTGAGACAAAGTCCTTTCTTACTTCCTTCTCCTTCCCCTATTCAAAAGACATCTTTTACCACTCCAAATTGTCTGTCGTTGGAAGAGAAGTGCCTTGGGTTGTATAAAACCCTCTCTGACATTTTTTGTCTGTACTATAGCCCAGTTGCTGCAGTCTCTCATCTGGTTTCCTTAGCTCTTGTGAAGGGATTTCTATGTATGTGTATTGTTCAAATTAACATTTCTGCAGGGAAATGTATGCTACAAAGCCCTACTCCACTGTTGTGCTAATGGCTGGCCAGGTGTTTATTTGTATAGAAGGAAAAGCACCAGCACAAAAGAATAGAGGTACAAAGATGTTTAGTGAAGAAGTAATTGTAGGAATGAAATGAGAATGATATTCAATAGAGAAATTGTTAAATATTTTAAGGCATCTATGTATTTTCCCTTCTCTTTCAAGCTCATGAGTCAACATTTTCAGGTGTTAGAAAACTCCAATTCCTTTAGACAGCTAACTAATACACTCAACATCACTCAGTATTTTTGTTGCTATCCAAAGTGCTGAGCCCTGAGTGTTTCTGACCATTCACAAAAATCAGTCAAAATGATAGTCTGTGCAGTCAGCTTCCAAAACAGAAGACATAGGAGATATTAAATGAACTTCAAAGTGACCCAGCACAAAGGACTTTGCTTGCGTATTTTATTTGTATTTAAATCAACTAATGAACAAAATATAAAGTAGGACCAAATTTTATTGTATCCGCTTTCTACTGGGCCAATTTACAGCCAGCATGTTGAAGGGAGAGAAATGGGCTTTGGTCTGCAGTAAAGAATAGCTTGATTCATTTCAAAGTTTTTAATAAAGTGGCCCTC